TGATTTAGCAACTAGGAATCCTGATTTAGCAACCAGGAATCCTGATTTAGCAACCAGGAATCCTGATTTAGCAACTAGGAATCCTGATTTAGCAACCAGGAATCTTGATTTAGCAACCAGGAATCCTGATTTAGCAACTAGGAATCCTGATTTCGCAACCAGGAATCCTGATTTAGCAACCAGGAATCCTGATTTAGCAACCAGGAATCTTGATTTAGCAACCAGGAATCCTGATTTAGCAACTAGGAATCCTGATTTCGCAACCAGGAATCCTGATTTAGCAACTAGGAATCCTGATTTCGCAACCAGGAATCCTGATTTAGCAACTAGGAATCCTGATTTTGCAACCAGGAATCCTGGCAATAGAACTTTAAATCCTGATGATCATTGAATCATGGGTCCTTATTCTATATCCTGATATAAGCCTTGTTCCTGTCACATATATACCCAGCTCATCAAGATTCATGATTTGAAAGATAATCTAAAAGGTTAAAGAGTTAAAGAAGATAAAACCAACCTTTGTGTCCAGTTCTGATCCTGGCATTATCTTCCTACAGAATGTCTCTAGCTGTGTCAGACAAGGATAGTTCGGAGGTTCATTAAAATCCTCCGGAAACTGATCCAACCAAACATGAAGAGCTTGACGAAGGGTTCGACGATGCTGCTCAGATCTTTCTTTGCTCATATTCCCCAGTTGTTCATACCTGTAACATAAACCATATGTGATCCTAGTCTAGATATAATCACGAGGTTTAAGACAGACCCTGAGAATCTCAGGGTTAAGTTTGATTAGTGAAGGTTAGAATAAACGTAACAGATTTATATATTCCTGGAACAGCTTAGTGCATATACGCATCTAGTATACTCGTCATTGATAGGCATCAAACCTAGCATTGTAAACTGTATATTGTATATTGTATGTATATTGTATACATGTATATATAAACTTATTCCGTATATAGTTATTATATAGACCCAGATGTCAGTTTTTTCATCTAAAAATTAATTATTTACAATAGGATTTAATGCTACAGAGAAAAGAAAGAATGTTAATAGTTAGAAAAACGACAGTATCTTTCCCGTTTTTATTCCAATATAAGTTTAAAGCAGGCGCGCAACTAGGAGTGGGCATGCCCTCCTTAAGATGGCGGACCAGAAGTCCTTAACAGGGGTCCATATAGTTCCATATATAAATAACTAATTTTCTCGAAATTTGAAGAAAAAAAATGGGCCCCACAGTAATTTTTTTAACCTTTCACATTTATGCCTCCGACTCTTAAAGCAAACTCAAATTCCACTATAACAATTTTCAATATAAGCTCAGATTCTTTTTATTTTTGCCCCCTTTCTTAAAAAAATGCCCCCAAATTGGATTCTTTAAATTATACTCACACATTCAAATTGCCCAACCAGACTTAAATTTGCCCCCTTTTTAAGAATGCCACCGAATATTTATAATTTGCACCTAAATTTAATTTATTTTTATTCCCAAATGTTTTATTAATACACCCAACTTTAATTAATCAGTTTTGTGCCCAATCCTTTGATTAAAAAAAGCCCCTTCATATACTTTGAAAATGCCCTTAAATAAAAAAAATTAACCTCAAAATAAATATTTAAGATTTCCCACACACAAATTTGCCCAAACTGAAAAAAGCCCCCAAAAACAAAATTTGCCCATTGTTTAGTATAATACACATTTTTCTAAAGAAATTATTTGGGGGAGGCCAAACAAAAATTTTCGCACTACAAGCGATTTATTTGCACTTTGCCACCCCCCCCTTGCTGAATGTCTAGTTACGCGCCTGGTTTAAAGGGTACCTTTGTCACACTTTAAATTGTGGGTCACTTGAAATTACTTATACAGTCCCTTTAAAGTTTATATTTTAGTAAAGATATAATATCTTCATATTTCAAGTTACAGACCAGATTCATAACCGTACCCTTCATATTTCAAGTTACAGTCTAAAAACAAACATTATGAATACATGATAAATACATTATAAAACTAGGTTGTATTGTTGGTTTCAATTTTCCTTGTTTTGCTTCTATTGTAATATTGTATTGTTCTTCTGGTTTCTCTCAAGTATTTGTCTGCATAAGGAAAAAAATGTTAATAAATCTTATAATTTATTTTCTCTTTCTTTCATCAGGCTGAGCTTTTCAAAATAATTTTTTCTTTAAACATGAATTGCCATTTTCAACCAACTTTAGCTTAGAAGCATGGATAAAATAAAGTTAATTTGAACAGTTTTCCAAAACTAATTTTACCAAGATAAAATTACAATTACAACAATGAAAACAGTATTTTTTTATCGCTGAGAAGCAGTTTAAAAAGAACGGATAGAAATAAAAGAAAATCTGGATTTAGTTTATCTTCAAGGACAAAGTTTAATTTAAACTAAAGCATCAGGGTTCCCTGAATATTTTATTTAAACTTCTAAACTTATTTTTATTTAATTAGGTAGAAAAGCTATGACGGATAAAGATACAGGAAACCTTCTAAGTGGGATAGAGAAGAAAAAAAAATGGTAGAAAAATAGAAAAGAGGAAAAAATGTGTAATTTTTATATTCTAAAAATAACAAGATATGAAAATACAATTGCTAGAATATATAACACAAATCAGGTCAAGTGGAGCTAGGAGCTAGATAAGAGTTAGAAGATAGGAGCTAGGAGTTAGCTAAGAGTTAGGAGATAGGAGCTAGGAGTTAGCTAAGAGTTAAAAGATAGGAGCTAGGAGTTAGCTAAGAGTTAGGAGAATAGAGAATAGAATATATAGAGAGGAATTTACTAGAAAAAAGTGTAAAACGGCCATTTTGTTGTACTGTTTCCATACTGCAGGTGTACTTCACATATTTATGCTATATAACCTGTTGGCCCCTGGAATATCATTTTATAGAAAATCTAAAATAATTGTTAAAAGAAAACCAAATTATGAAATAGGCTGGTTTCATAATTGACCAATAGACTCTATGCCGTCCACTTTACAAACGATGATTTTCCGTTATAACTATAAATCAAATGATGTTTTTTATTCACCTAATTCATTATAAAGTTCATTTAACAGTTTAAAAAATTCGAAATTGAAATGGATAGTATAGGGAACATACTGTATTAATGTACTCTATTGCATATAATTTGTGAACATTTACATGATTTGTACACTTTGAACTCCCTTTCAGGCTGAAAGGGACTGAAAAAATTCATACCGAGAGATTCTTTTAATTCCTCTCTTTATATTCTATTCTCTATGGTTAGGAGATAGGAGCTAGGAGAGGAAGAAGCAAGAAGAGGTTAAATAAAAAATAGAACAAGAAAGCACAACATTTATGGAAGTTACAAATACGCCCAATATATAATTCAGAAGAACAAGTTGAGATTGAGGTACAGAAGAACAAGATAAGATACAGAAGAACAAGATAATAACAGAAGAACAAGATAGTAACAGAAGAACAAGATAGTAACAGAAGAACAAGATAGTAACAGAAGAACAAGACAAGATACAGATAAACAGAAGTACTAGATAAGATACAGAATAACGAAATATGATACAGAAGAACAAGATAAGATACAGATAAACAAGACAACATAAAGAAGAACAAGATAAGATACAGAATAACGAAATATGATACAGAAGAACAAGATGAGATATAGATAAAAATACAAATGAAGAAGAACAAGAAATTTTAAAGATGAAAGATATAAGATTTAAAAACTAACAATATAAGATACAAAAAAAAGACAAAAAATAAGACAATGAATGTAGAAAAAAATACCAAAGTAAAGTTCTGAGAAAAAGTTAAAGTAAGAAAAGAGAACAAAATAAAAGTTGAAGAGTTAAGTTAACTCTAGACTCTGCACTCTGCAGGTTGAATAGGTGAATAGTGAGATCGAAAACTATGAAACCATGAAACCGCTTTCAAGCAATTCAACCTGTGGATATACGAACATTTATTACAAATCAAGGTCGTTTCAACAAATTTCATTTTTTTAGAAAAAAAATATTTTTAATATTAAGAAACCTTCTACAAAAGAAAAGTCCTATTTAATTAACACATAGATAGAGGGAACAAGGAATAAAGAACTAGATAAGGTGGAACCAGCAACTAGTGGAATAGGAACCAGAAACTGAAAGTGTAGGAGAATAATATTTATAGATTAGGAACAAGCAGAGTAGTAACCAGTAACTATCAGAATAGGAACCTTTAATACTGGAACAAATAATCGGGAACTAGAAGAGTAGGAACCTAACACTAGAATAGGAACCAGATACTAGTGAAGTAGGAACCAGGAACTAGTGCAGTAAGAACCAGGAACTAAACGATTAGGATACAGGAACTTGTAGAAAATGAACCAGGAACTTGTTGAATAAAAACCAGGAACCAAACGATTAGGAACCAGGAACTTGTTGAATAGGAACAGGAAACTAGTGGAGTAGGAACCAGGAATCAAACGATTAGGAACCAGGAACTTGTTGAATTGGAACCAGGAACTAGTGGAGTAGGAACCAGGAACTTGTTGAAAAGGAACAGGAAACTAGTGGAGTAGGAACCAGGAATCAAACGATTAGGAACCAGGAACTTGTTGAATTGGAACCAGGAACTAGTGGAGTAGGGACCAGAAACTTGTTGAGTAGGAACCAGGAACTAGTGGAGTAGGAACCATGAACTTGTTGAGTAGGAACCAGGAACTAGTGGAGTAGGAACCAGGAACTAGTGGAGTAGGAACCAGGAACTTGTGAGTAGGAACCAGGAATTAGTGGAGTAGGAACCAGGAACTTGTTGAGTAGGAACCAGGAACTAGTGGAGTAGGAACCAGGAACTTGTTGAGTAGGAACCAGGAACTAGTGGAGTAGGAACCAGGAACTTGTTGAATAGGAACCAGGAACTTTAATAATAGGAAATAAGAAGCTCATAAAACGCCTGATGCTGCCAAAATGACTCTTCAAGTTAAAATAAACTCTCAGATCTAATCTGTGGACCAACAGACCCAAAACATATCCTAAGTTTGGAGAACATATGTTTCAGGGAGAACCAGCGGGAAAAAGAGATTGAATGAATTAAGAACGATGGAGAAGTAAGAATTGAAATAAACAGGAGAAAAAGATCATATCTAAAAGCCAAATAAAAAAGGTTAGATGGATAGAATTGAATGAAGTTTAATTTAGGAAAGAGAAACTTACAACTTGAATAAAGAAGGAAAAGTAGGCTCTGAGTCTTGAATATATTTAGAATCTGAGGTGAAATTGAATGGATGAAATTGCAGAGATGAATCAAAAGAAAAATATTTCTGTCACGTTATATAATAAATCTTTTCTTAATTTTTTGAATCAACGACATCTGTCCATAAGAAACCTCAACCTAGTTATCTGAGATAAAACCATAAAATCTTGGTTCCTCTCCCTATAACATTCTTATTCTAGGTTTATGAAACCAAATAATGGTCATGTTCCTTAGAGCCATGGACTCTGAACATTTTGGTTCCTAGAACCTAAACATTTTGGTTCCTATACCTTAAAAATTCTGGTTTGGTTCCTAGAACTTAAACATTTTGGTTCCTGTACCCTAAACATTCTGGTTCCTAGACCCTAGACATTCTGGTTCCTGAACCCTAAACATGTTGGCTCCTAAACCCTAAACATTCTGGTTCCTGAACTCTAAACATTTTGGCTCTAAGACCCTAAACATTCTGGTTTCTAGACC